ATTTCTTAGAAGCAGAGGGGTGAAAGTCGATTCCCTTCTCGATTTCCTCTTTTAATGACCATGGCTTCACTAGCCTAGAATCTATCAAATGGTTACAATATTACTACTCTGGAGATCATTTTTTGTGGTCGTTGGGGGCGTGTTATTCGGAATATGGCGATGAATGTGCACAATGTTATGCAATTGCATCCTCCCTATTCGCCCACTTGTTTCGTCTACTAATGACTCTCTGATGACTGTGTTGGGGAAGCAGTATATGCATGAACGTAATTAGTGGATTTGTTAGTTATTTCGACGCTTTTGGACAATGATTAACATTTTCCACTTTTTCAATAGTTTCTTGTTCAAAATCAACAGTCGGAAGCATTGCTATCGATGCGTGGAAATATATCTAATCGATTGGTGATTAAATTATTGAAATTGGTCCAGGGGCAGCTGAGTTATTAACGTTCAAAATCTTGCATCATTTCGTTACATGTTCCATTTTCGGGTTTCACAAAGTGTACCCCCATATAGAAATCACAGACGTAGTCCTACGTAAAAAAAATGTGGATTTACTACACCCAACCGGGAAAAGTAAGATTGTAATACAGATTTGCATAAAAACTGTGCAGAGTTTGCAATGTTTCGTGGCATGAACATATTCTATAATTTAGTCACCGGAAGGATTATAAAATAAATTTGTGTCAGCTTATTTTTCGAACAAAGTTTGTTTTCCCAAATGCGATGCGTCTAGAAAATCATCTCGTGAAGGTTTTATACAAAAATATGCATTCTGGAAAAACATGCCTGTACAATGCAGTCCCTTGCAAGAGCTGTCATCACATTGGTTGTATGAAACATATGCAGAGGATGTAATAATTTCAAACTTATATTGGATGTAAGAGAAATTTGGATTGCGTGTAGGATGTAAATATCAAACATTTTCGTTGGAAATGCACTTTATTCCTCATACTCAATTTTCCCATATTGGACTGATATGCGATTAAAAGCAGTCTGTACCTATGTGCCTTCATACATATGAAGTTGTTGTTGTTTTTTTTATTATTTGATAGGATCGAAAAACAACTGTCCTTATGCTTTCCAAGAATAACCACGTAGTCTTTTAACTTATGAACTTGCCCCGTAACGTGGGTAGATCACCTTTTCGTGGTACGTTACGGGATGTATGATCTACCAACGATTCCTAGTCATGACTACTTCAAACTAAGGGAACAGGATTTTTCAGTAATCCAAGGAACACATCTTAGTCCTTGTTACTTTTTATGCCTTGTTGATAGTGACAAGACTCGGCTTTGTCTACCGAGGATGATATTGAAACAAGGAAAAATGAGTTAGTTGTCTTCATCTATGTGATTCCTAATCTTCTAATCGTTGTTCCCTAGTTTGAAGTGGTTAAGACTAGGGTTCTGATACATGGTCATTATCGGTCTTCTCTCTTCTCCTTCGCATTTCAAGCTTATTGCATATCGCTTATTAGCTTATTGCGTGCTCTCAACTTAGTGTTCTAGATGCACTTCCACAGTTATTAATTGAGAGCGTTCGATGCCTGCACCATTTTTGCATTTGTATGATTGTGTGGCAAGTCCAATCATACTTCTATGCCCAGGGAAGTCGAGAAATTTTCCAACCCGAAAAATTCCTAGACCGGACCGGGAATTGAACCCAGCCACCTCCAGCATGGTCTTGCTTTGTAGCTGCGCCTTTACCGACTGAGCTAAGGGAGGCCTCATGGTCATTATCGGTGTCATACCTTAATTTTGTTGCTAAGGAATCCAATTTTGACTGACAAAGGGGCGCGCTTTTGGAGGGTGTTTCAAAACTCCGAAGGGTATAAATAGCGGGACCTTTCAATTAGAGTCGGATCCTTGTGATAAATGCAACAGTGGCAGCTGTAAAAAAATCGAATACTTCATCATTTCTCAATAGTGATGGAGTAGGGTTAACTACCCCATTTCCGGCCTATTAAGCACAACCTGCACTTAGTCGTTCTTAATCTAGCGCAATTTAGTACTAAGCGAAATGTTATTATCACTCATGGCTTCCAAATGTATTTACCTTTCCGTACGTACCGTAAGATTTGATAAAAAGAAACCAATCGTTGAGATATTGTCAAAAGTCTAACACTGCTTCTTGACGCCAAACTCGGCCTACGGATTCTAAACTTGGCCTAACGCATTGAAACGCCATTGAAACGCCAATGAATTCACTTCGGCCTATCGGATGAAGATAAAAATTGATTCGGTCGGAGCGCTTCTTTTGTTTTTGGAAATTATGGGTGCAAACCTTCATATCACGCGTTCTCATTGACTTCGTTCGGTAGCTTATTAACTAAAGTATCGTACCAAACGCATAATTGACTTGTTAACTCTGAAATCATGGATTTATTTGAAGTTTTCTGCTCGATAGGCCCAAAATGGGCGATTAGGCCGAAGTAGTTCTCTTCCCTAATACGACATGCACTAAACTAAGGACACGGGATATACTACAATAGATCAATTTACTGGTCGCAGTAGTGTTGGGTCCCGAACAGAGGAAAAAAAACTTATGATAAGTTTCATGAAAATAAAGGCATCGACAGTTGACCCATGTTCATATATTTGGCAATAATAAAATCGCTGCATACTACTAGTGAAATTTTCGCTCCACAGTGCTCAAACGGTTTTAAATCAGGTCCTGATTAGCCGCCCAAAATTTGAACTCATTTGGTAAGAAACCGACTTGGCACAAACTATTCGAAGTTCATATGGAAATTACTATGGGAAAACCAAACTTTTTGTTCATTGTCTTCTACCAATTTTCCATTCTGCTTTTTCGAACATTTCTATAGCTATTTTTAAGGGAAATTTTCAGCCAAATGTCAAATTGTTATTAATTGTTTAAGAGATTGATAAACTTATGACATGATCATGCAGCTGTTATGTGGGCAACACTGTATTCAGCAGTGTGACATAGTAGCCATGATATTTGTGCTCTATTCTTCGCACCAGTAACACCAATGTTGCCTACTAAACAGTTGAATCAACATATTCATAAGACATCAGTGACTTGAATCATTAATAACTTTTGTTCCTTACATTTAATTGAAAAGTGGTTTTCAACAAAGTTGTAGCTGAGAAAATTAGCTACAATCACTGTTATTATTTTAAAAGCATAGTGATGTGGTGAATTGTTAGATAAATATGAAAAAAAACATAAGTTTTCCCATAGTAATTCCCACATAAACTTGAAATGATTTGTGCCAAGTCAGTTTCTTACTAAAGTAGTTCAAATTTTGGGAGGCTAAGCAGGACCCAATTTGAAACCGTTCAAGCACTGTGGAGCAAAAATTTCAAATTTTGCATCAGTCTACTGCATACTGTAAGTTAATTCTTGTAGATTATTAACTGGGACATTTGATATTCAGCCGAGCATGGAACCTACCTAAAATTCCACATCTATAATTCAGTAGCCATCCTGAATTCCTCCACTCTGATCCCTTCCCTTCTACGTTACCCGCTGCGTGTCTCGCATCATGGTGACCTCGTCCCCACATTATAGCTGATACCAGAACGCCACCACAAGCCCTGTAATCAATAGACACCAAAATCGTTCCATTATTCACTTTCGGCGTGTGAGGTTAATTGGGAACTGATGAAGCCACCAAAAAAAGATCTTAAACACCGTCCGATCTCACACACCACATTTCAAGATGACCGTTTATCACACCACATGACGGATAACCCTTCTCCATTCAGGGAGGTAAACCGTAAAACCACTGACTGCTGGTGCTGCTGCTGCCAGTAATGCCACCACAATCAAAACCGATATTACATATGATTTAAATAGACGAGGAAAATTGGTCCCTGTCATTATTTTCCCTCGTGCTGAGTGGAAAAGGATGTGCCGGTCGGTTCTTTCTTGAGTATAATTATACAATTTATCGAAAATCGAGAATAGGGAATAAAACGGAAGATGACAGACTGCTTTCATATTTGGTTGGAACGCAAAGGACAATGAATGGCTAACTGCCGGTTGAAAGACCGTTTAAAATTTCAATACCGAGAAAGGGGTTGAATTTCGTTAAATAGGTGACTGACGCAAGAGGATCGCAAAATCTCACCAGTTGACTCATTGGCGCAAGAATTCCTCCACCAGCTCAGCGTGTAAATACAAATAAATCAAACCGCAAAATTTTACGATGATTTACGAGGACTGCCTTCTCATCGTCACTCGTCACGGACGGGCGGGAAAAATCTCATGAAAGGCCATCGGGCAAACAAAATACACAAACTAAACGCGGGCTCCGGAATCCTAAACAATGCCAGGCTGCTGCTGCTGCTCCTATACAGGCTTCGCCTAATTAGAATAAATTAAGAAATTTGAATAATTTTTCACCACGCGTTACCAGGACTGATTTGTGATTGCGGCCGGATCGAATCGCCAGAGTGGCTTACGTGCCAGACTCATTGCGGGCCCCTTGAGACTTTGTTGCAGTCCGACCGTCCCCGGTGGAACTGGTGGTACCTTGTTCATATTTTTGCTCCATCAACCGCCCCCAATTCTCCGCTGTTGTTTTTGCCGTCACGTTCAGCGGCGGCGGCGGCCTTATCAACGGGCATTTGCCTGACATTTGCTTGTTTCTTTTCCTACTCGCTTACACTTTTAATTGTTTCACGGCTAATTTACATGCTAATTTAATTAGTTCATATTTATAAGCTAAAGTTCTTGTTTTTTTTTTCGTCGGCGACGAGTACGACGATGTTGTTGCTCTCCCCGGTTGTTGTTCGGATTGGAGATTACCCGTAATTTAGGCGTAACGAGACTTGTTATTTTCCCTTGCTCACTTAGACACGGATTTCGAACCCGGGCCAAGATCGATTGGTGGCGGTTTATCTTGTTGTTTGTTACGAATCGGTCGCCGGTGGGCAATTTCACGCGATAAACGGAATCGTTTTTCAATGCATTGAAGATTTCTTAGCACTAACTGATGCCAACCTTTTTTTTTTTTTTGTTCCCAGGTCCTATCTCGGTTGATCGGTTCCAGGAAGGCGACGATGACGTGGACGTTGACGTGGAACAGTGTAGTGATTCGGAAACACCATCGCGTGCCTCCCACAGGGGTTCGCGGTCACGAGCGACCGGGACGCCTTCGGACGAGGAGCGACTGACGCCGGAACCTGCTTCGGTGAGTTTGGATTTATTGGTCCAATACAGAGTGTGAAATAACTGGAGCATTTTCTTGCGATTTTCACACAGACAAAACACAACATTGTCGGCACATGCAATTCAGATGACCTGCGGCCAGTGCAGTGTCATTTGGAAACGAAAGAACTGTGGGATAAATTCCACGATCTTGGAACGGAAATGATCATCACTAAAACGGGACGGTAAGTGGCGTTGTTTTTTTTTCTGTTTTCGACTATTATCAAATTGTCACATCATATCAATGTGATGAATATAGGAATTAGGATGACTGCAGCTGACTACTCTTTCTAGAAGTCAGCACTGCACTGCAAGTGTTTTGTTCTGTCATACCTTGGTCAGTTTTACCGCCAAACGTGTCAAAATCAGCTCACATTATGGTGCACCTATATGTGATTGACAGGAATAGAGTCCTCTTGCAAATTGTACTATGATTGGGTAAAATGGTTTTCCGATTTGAAACACATTTCCAAGCACATTATGATGAAGTAAGTAGGAAAGCACCACCTTGTTGGAATAAACCTGCACTTCATTATCTTCAGCTTAAAAGTGGATATTCCGGTGGTTTAAATGTTCCAGATCAATCCGTGGAAATGGTTGGTTAATTGCAACTAGTTTTTAGCTTCATCATTTGGTTTGGCTTATTACTCAGGGGGGTCTATCTCTGTCAACCAGATAGAGATGCCCCATTAGACTGATGAAAAATTTGAAATTTTCGCTCCACAGTGCTTAAACGGTTCCTGTTTAGCCTCCCAAAATTTGAACTACTTTAGTAAGTAACTGACTTGGCACAAACCATTTCAAGTTTATATGGGAATTACTATGGAGAAACCATTATTTTGGTTCATATCTATCTCAAAATTCACCAGTTCACTCTACTTTAGAAATAGCTGAGCTTGTTGAAAATTTTCTCAGTTACAACTTTGTTCAAGACCACTTTTCGATCAAATGTAAGGAACAAAAATTATTAATGATTCAAGTCACTGATGTCTTATGATTATGCTCAATCAACTGTTCAGCAGGCAACATTGGAGTTTATGGCGCGTACAATAGAAGACATAAATCATGGCTACTATGTCACACTGCAGAATACAGTGTTGCCCACAGAACAGCTGCTTGATCATGCCATAAGATTATCAATCTCTTAAACAATTTAATTTGACATTTGGCTAAAAAACAGTATTGCGCAAAGTTGTAGCTTAGAAAATTTCCCGTAAGAATAGTAATAGAAATTTTCGAAAAAGCAATATGGACAATGGGTAGAAGACAATGAACAAAAAGTTAGGTTTTCCCATAGTAATTTCCATACAAACTTCGAATAGTTAGTGCCAAGTCAGTTTAAATTTTGGGAGGCTTATCAGGGCCTGATTTGAAACCGTTTGAGCACTGTGGAGCGAAAATTTCATATTTTGCATCAGTCTAATGCCCCATAGCCATAGCCAAAATTCGTGATTGTTGCCCCCGTGTTATTACTATTCAAATATTTCTGGGATATTCAATGTATTTCTAAGTATGTATTACCTATGTTAGACTATATGGCACTCCTGCGCTAAACACAATTTTTCGAATATTATTTCGATTTTTGTGATATTCAACGAGTAGATTTTTTGCTATAATTTATGTTTCGTTGGCTAATTGTTCGACCACAATGATAACATATTGAGTTATCAAACCTTCAAAACTAGGTATTAGAACATCAATCAATTTGGTATGAATCATTGCTCGGGGGCCTCCCTTAGTTCAGTCGGTAAAGGTACAGCTACAAAACAAGAATCCCGGTCCGGTCTAGGAATTTGTCGGGTGGAAACACTTCTCGACTTCCATGGGCATAGAGTATGATTGAACTTGCCACGCTATTATACTAATGCAAAAATGGTACAGGCATCGAAAACTCTCAATAACTATGGAAGTACATCTAAGGACTGTTCATTAATGAAAGTAGACACCTGTTTCTCAAAAGAAAATATTTATTTTCAAACACATTCATAAGTTTACTTTATATAAATGAAAATTAACATCCGTATGACCGATAAGTAATATTCGATAATCAATAAGCTTTAAATATGAAGAAAAGGAAGAAGAAGAAGAACGAATTTCCCATGTATTTTCGCATACAAAATTCAAAATACTCTCACCAATCTATATCATATCCAAATTCGTTAAAATTTGGCACAGTTGTTAAGGGCCACCCACATAAGTTCCGTTGACGTTGCGTTGACGTAAATTTGGCATTAGATTTGGCTGTCACTTTGCTGCAACGCGTCAGGTCCGGATCTAATGTGGGCCACAATACACAGCAGTGGAGAGCAGGGGTTTTAAATGTTCTCTGTAAGAAGGGTAAAAAACAGTAGTCCGTCAAAATTATGTAACCAGTTCATTCTTATCTGTCGACACAAGCAGTTGTGTGTTTTTTCGGCGCGAGTCTCGCGATAGTCTGTTTTTCGATAGCAATTTATTGTTGCGTTGCTTGTTGATAGTTTGAAGTTCGTTCGCTTTTGTCGTTTTTCCTTGATTTGTTTTTCGTCGATCTTGTTTTCCGTGCTGAGCACCAATGCTACTGACGCCAGGGAGGCAGCTCCCACATCTGGGTCCTATCTATCGACCCATGAACTAATGAACCGGGGACCAACGGCTTTACTTCCCTTCCGAAGGGAGGCGTGATCAGAGATGTTATGCCTCAGAACATCCCGGCGGCGCCGACTGGGATTGAATCCAGGCCTGCTGGGGTGAAAGGTAGTCACGCTTACCACTACACCACCGGCGTGAAGAAGTGGGTTAATGCTTCAGCATTTTTCGAGTGGTACTACGGATTCATGCGTCTAAAGAGCCTGAATTTATAAAAAGACGACATGTCATAATTGGAACTATCGATGATCTGTCAAAGTCATAGGAAAAGTTATTCCAGTCGAGCAGAAGACCTGTCAAATGGATAAGACGTCGCCTTTTTACCCAATTCAGCCGCTTTAACAAGCACAATGTTGGACAATTTTTCGGCAACTTGCAATCAATACAGTCCCGGCAAAACTTCCGGAATCTGGATGGAACTAGCATGACCACTGTCCACAACCCAAAAAAAGGTAGTGACTGGCATGACTGGTGATGCAAACAGGTTAGTAAGGCTACATTATTTATGATCTTCCAACTCTAACTTCATGTATTCCTGGTCCAATAAGAACTTTTTAAGCACGTCCTTGACTGTCCTTACAAGCCTTTCGGCTTGTCCATTGCTGGAAGGATTATAGGGTGAACTTTTCAGCACCACTATTCCTTGCCTTTCTAGAAATTGTATGAATACATAAGAATTAAATGGTGAACCATTGTCCGAAACCAAAACGTCCGGCAGACCATACCTTGCAAAAAATTCTACCAATACTTTAAGAACTCTTCTCGAATCCGTTCCATTCTTCATCCATTCAACTTCTAGCCATTTGAAGTGACTATCGATGATCAATAAGAATGTCCGATGTTCAAAAAAAAAAAAGAAATCAATGTGGATTCTACTAAATGGTCTTAACGTTGGTGTCCATTGAGTCGTAACTTTTGGTTTTGGCACTACTGCCATACTATTGTAAGCGTCACATTGGGAGGCAAAACTTTCAATGTCTTTATTAAGTCCAAACCAATACACCGTACGTCTAGCGAGTTGCTTCATCCTTACTATTCCTGAATGGTTTGCATGTAATAATTTCAAAATCTCGCCTTGCATTTGTTTTGGTATAATAACTCTGTCCTGGTAAAGCAGGCAGGTCATCTACTATTTCCAGATCCTGTTGAAATGTTTATCCACCCGTTTCGGCCATCCTTCTTTCAAGTATGATATTATATCTTGTAGGAATGAATCGACCTTTGTCAAATCAGCAATCCTTCTATAATCAATTGGAACTTCTTTTCCAAAGTTAATGCTCCTAACAACTTCAACATCATAATCAGCAGGTACTAATTGCCCTAGAGGAAACCTAGAACAGAAATCAGCATTCCCCATCTTAGCTGAAGGCCTATATAGGATTTCATAGTCATAGATAGCCAACTCAAGAATATATCTTTGAAGTCGTGTTACAAATAACGAATGTTTGTCTTCTTTTCCAAAAATACCTACTAATGGCTTATGGTCAGTAAAAACTTTAAATTTCTGGCCATATAGGTATTTATGAAACTTTTTTATTGTGCATACGAGAGCTAGTGCTTCAAGATGGAGAATGGGGTAGGATTTCTGCGCGTCATTTAACGTAAAAGAAGTAAAACTTATAGGTTTTTCCATCTCGTCCACCATATGAGCAATTACTCCTCACAAGCCGTATCCATAAGCATCTGTAACAACAATTATCGGCTTTTTTGGGTCGTAAAACTCTAAAAACTTTGTTTCCGATAAAGCAGATTTGCTTTCTTCGAATGCTTTTTGACAATTTTCATCCCGCGTATACTTTACATCGTTTCTCAAAAGATTATACAATACATAAAGTTTAGATGACAAATGTGGTATAAATTTGTTATAATAATGTATCAACCCTAAAAAGGATTTTAATTCAGTAACAGTTTTTGGTACTTTTGCATCCTTTATGGTAGAAATTTTGTCCTGACAGGGCAATAAACCCTTGTCACTTATAATATGTCCCAAATATGTAAGTTCAGTCACAAAAAAATGACATTTCTCCCAATTTACCTTGATATTTGCCTCCGATAGCCGTTTTAATACCAAGTATAGTTTTTTCTTACAGTCATCTAAATTCTTTCCTGCAATAAGTACGTCGTCTAAATAACAATACACAAAATCAATTCATTCTAAAATTTGGTCCATAATCTGTTGGAATATAGATGCACTCGAGGATGCCCCCTGGGGTAGTCTGTTATAGGTATACAACCCTTTTATTGTGTTAATAACCATAAAACGTTTGGACCTTTCCGATAGTGCCAACTGCGTATATGCACCTTCCAAATCTAAGGCACAAAATATCTTACAACCTGCCAATCCTGCAAACAAGTCTTGAGCAACAGGTAAGGGGTAAGTATTCGGAATGATTACTTTGTTTATAGACAATTTACAGTCAATTACCAACCGAATCTCATTATTCTTTTTCATGACAATTATTACTGGAGACGCCCATTCGCTAGTCTTGACCGGAGTTATAACTTTTTCTTTCTCTAATCTACCTTAATAATCAATAACTTTATCTTTTAAGCGATAAGG